GTGTGTTTTTGGGGGGGGGGGGGTAGAGAGAGAGCGCCTGCTCTACGCACAGCCACGTGTGTATAGCAGTATGGTGCAACACCTGTGTGTATTGTGGTTGCCTTTGCCTTGTGTAAATATGGTCGTTCCGGTTCCGGTTTTCAAATATGGAGGCGCTAGTCAGGGCGAGGGCCGTGGGAGTTGTGTGTGTGCCTTGTGTTGCTGTATGTGTGGCGTACGTAGCCGCTTCCCACGACAACAACAGCGAACAGCTGAACAAGGGCAACCCCCGCCCCCCCCCATCTCGAGGACGCGTGGTCAACGGTCTAACAACTTGGGCAAGCCGTGTGCATTTTTATGCCACACCCCGCAACCCCTCATCCCCCCACCCCCACCCCACCTAACCGGTTCTGCGTACCCCCTCCCCTCACACAGATGGAAGGCCTGACCGCCAGCGACGAGGGCGCCGTGAAGGCCCTCAGCGCCGTGGCCGCGGTGTGCCTGGGCGGCCTCCTGGTGCAGCCCCTCTTCGCACCCCCGGACCTGGCGTCCCTCCCTGCCAAGCCCACGCCCACGGTCCAGACCAAGAAGGCCGACCCCGCCCCGGCCCCGGCCCCCGCCCCCAAGAAGGAGGAGCCCGCCCCCGCCCCCAAGCCGGAGCCCGCGCCGGCGCCGGCCCCGGCTCCGGCGCCTAAGGTGGAGCCTGCCCCAGCCCCCGCCCCCGCCCCCGCCCCTGGTGAGAAGAAGGAAGAATCCCGGTTTAAGAGGGGAGGGCGGCCCGCCGTCCGCGTTTGGTTGTTGACGGTTGCGGCGCAGCATCGGTCGCGTTGCCCTGATTTTTTTGCCAGCCCTGGTGGTTGTTGTTGTTGTTGTTGTTGTTGTTGTTGTTGTTGTTTCTGGCCTCCTCTCCAGCAGAGTTTATCGATCTGCAGAACGACGTGTTTGCTCTAATTTTTTGCAGGCGAAGGCTTTCGTCGAGCCTAAACCTTGCAGACGTGTTTCGTAGTAGCTCATGAGTAAATGAGGAGGTGTCGCCCCCCTCCTTAACTTTAAGGAAGTCACAGCTTTCGGTTGTACGACCGACCCGTGTACCCCTCCCTCCCTCTGTCTGCCCGTCTTCCAACATACTGTGCAGCCCCGGCCCCGGCGCCTGCGCCTGCGCCTGCGCCTGCACCCGGTGAGAAGAGAAGAGTCTTGTTTGCTTGGGGAGGGCGAACGTAGAACTTTTGTATTTTCTGAGGCTTGAGAACTCGAGGAAGTATTGGCACTAGATCTACCAGGCGTCACACCGTCCTGACCCTTGCACGCACGCGTGTCTGACTTGACTTTTGCCCCTCCTCCCGCGCATGTCACCCGCCCCCAAGAACAGAAACCTCGCACCTTCTCCACGCGACACTTCTAACGGTAACGAGCATGTACCCTTGCCCTTGCCCTTGCCGCCGTTGCTCTGTGTGCTTGTCAACAGCCCCTGCTCCGGCCCCGGCCCCGGCCCCCGCCCCCGCCCCCGCCCCGGCCCCGGCCCCGGCCCCGGCCCCCGCCAAGAAGAGCAAGAAGGAAGAACCCGCCGCCCCCGCCTACGGCGGCCCGACTAGCGGGAGGGTGTTGGAGGCAGAAACGTTGAGCCCCGACACGCTCAACATGCTCAAGTCGGTCAAGAAGAAATAGATAAATAAGCGGACCGGCGGAGCAAAACGATAATCAAATGCCAAGGGCCAACAAGATGGGCAGAGAATGGGGTCGGGTACCCCCCCCCCCCCCCCC